AGGAACGATTTGAGGCGCTGGCTCCCTCCCGGGCTTCTTTGGCAAGGGCTTCTCTTCGCGCCCCCCTCCTCGCTCTTGCTCCTCTGGGGTCTCCTGCTGTCTCTCCGCTCGGCTGTCTCGCTTCCTTGCTCCCCCTCCCGGTCTCTCGAGGTTCTCTCGCGCCCCACTTGTCTCGCTCTGGCTCCCTTCTGGTTTCTCTGTCCGTTCTTCTCTCGTTCTCTTCCCGCTGTCGGTCGTGCCGCTCTTGCGCGCCTCTCGTCGTTCGCTCCCTCTCGGTTCGCGCTTCTTTCGTCTCTCCGTCGTGGCGTCTCTCCCGGTCTGTCCCTTCCCTGGTCTTCGTAGGCCCTCTCTCGGCGCCCCGCCGCTTCTTCGCTTCCCTCTCTGGTCTTTCTGGCTTCTTCTGTTCTTCCCTTCTCGGTCCTTCTCCTCTCCGCTCCCCCGGCTCTCCTGTCTCTTCTCGCTTCTGTCTGTCTCTCTTCTTCTTTCTTCCTCTCCCTGCTTTCTTTTCTTTCAGAGGGCCTTCTTCTCGGCGCCGCCCTTTTTTCTCGCTCATCGCTCCTCTCTGTTTTTTCTCTCTTTTCTGTCTCTCTCTTCCTCTTTGTTCCCTCTCGGTCTTCTCTCTCTCCCTCTTCTGTCTTCTCTCTCTCTTCTCTCTCTTCTCTCTCTCTCTCTCTCTGTCTCTCGGTCTCTCTCTGTCTCTGTCTGTCTCTCTCTCTTTCTCCCTCTCCCTGGCTTTTGTCGAAGCCGGGCTTTATTCTCCCTTTTCTCTTCTTTGTCTGTTCTCTATATTTTCTCTCTTCTCTCTCTCTCTCTCCTCTCTCTCTCTCTCTCTCTCTCCTCTCTCTCTCTCTCTCTCTCTCTCTCTCTCTCTCTCTCTCTCTCTCTCTCTCTCTCTCTCTCTCTCTTATATGTCACTCTTCACTTTTTATCTCAACTGAATAGATTTAATCATTTGTGTTGCATAATCTTAACGCCTCTGACTCTTATCATCTTTGTATCTTTCATCGTTTTTACATATCTTCTTCCTTGTTCCTCTGCGAAAAAAAAAAAATCGTCTTTTTTGCATTTGTTTTTGTTTTGTTTCGTTTTGTTCCCAGTCGCTTGGTTTGTTGACAATCATGAGCATTATCCTGGATTGTTAACCCTCTCTCCCATTCGCTTTCTTCCTGCCTTTCACTCTCGCTTCCCTCTTCATAATCCTCCTCCATCACCCTCCTTCATCCTCTCTTCTCCATCATCCCTCCATCACTCACCCTTCCTACTTCCTCCGTCATCGCCTCTCCTCCATTTTCCTTCCATCACCTTCTTATCTCTCACCATCCCTCCTTCCCCCTCCGTTATCGGCTCCCTGACCCCGCTCCCTTCCCCCCGCCAAGCTGGAGCCGCATCCATCGCCTCTCCTCCGTCTTTCTCTCTCCTCCCTCCTTCCCCTCTTTTATCGCCTTTTCTCCGTCTTCTTCCTTCCTCCCTCCTTCCCCTCCGTCATCAGCTCTTCATCACCCTTTCATCCTCCTCCGTCTCTCTCTCCTCCCTCCTTCCCCTTCATTATCGCCTCTCCTACATAACCCTTTCATCCTCCTCCGTCTTTCTCTCTCCTCCCTCCACCCCCTTCATTATCGCCTCTCCCCCTCCCCCTTCTTCACCGCCTCTCCCCCCCCCTTTGCTTTACCGCCTCTCCCCCTCCACCTTCCTTCATCACCTCTCCCCTTCCCTCCTTCTCCTCCCCTCTTCCCCCTTCTTCACGGCCTCTTCCCCCTCTCCCCCCCAGCGCGCCCCCGCCAAGCTGGAGCGCGAGGACAGCGAGAACACGCAGCTGCGGCGTGCGATCTGCGAGGCCCGGGAGGGCGCCCAGAGGAAGGCCGCCAAGCGCAAGCCGGACGTCGTCCTCAGCAGGAGTTATCCCGGGGTAAATAACGGCCTTTTAATTCTTCGTATTATTCTGTTTTGATTGCTTTCTGTGTTTGGTTATTTATTTTAGATTGATATATGTTTATAGATATATATTTTTAGGTATCCTCTTAATACTTTTTGTAAATAACGGTGTAAATAACGGCCTTTTAATTCTTCGTATTATTCAGTTTTGATTGCTTTCTGTGTTTGGTTATTTATTTTAGATTTATATATGTGTATATATATATTTTTTTTTGTAGGTGTCCTTTTAACTTTTTCTTTTGTGATGGAATTTGGAATCCGGTGTCAATATCGCCCCTTTTTCTTCTTCCTTTATTAATTGTTTGCGATGATTTTTTTCTTTTACGGTCTATTTTTTTAATAAACTTTTGCTATTTTTTCTTCTTTGCGTGTCTGTGTCTTTCTCTCTTTATTAAATGTTTGTGGAAACTAATATAATGGTATAAGGTTTCTCTCTCTCTCTCTCTCTCTCTCTCTCTCTCTCTCTCTCTCTCTCTCTATATATATATATATATATATATATATATATATATATATATATATATATATATATATATAATATATATATATATATATATCAGTTTACATTTGTATATAGATATATGATATCTCGTTTTTTCTCTGTAGTTCATTTTTTCTTGTTCCCAATTTATGTTTAACTTTCCTCCTTCTAGCTCTCCTCCATTTCCTTCCTCTATTCCCTCTCATCTCTACCTTCCTTCACCCTTTTCTCTCTCTCTCCTTTTCTCTTTCTCTCTTCTCTCGCGTCGCCTGTTCTCTTTCTCTCCTTTTCTCTCTCTCTTCTCTCTCGCCTGTTCTCTTTCTCTCCTTTCTCTTCGCGCCGCCTGTTCTCAAAGCAGACTCCCCTTCCAGGCAACAGTGCACGAGGAATACGCGTGCATGCTCAACCAGACCAACATCGGCCAGAACAACAACAAGTTCTACGTCATCCAGGTCGCCAAAGACAGCGGGGATTTTCTTTGCTTCACCAGATGGGGGAGAGTGGTAAGAACACCTTTCCTCGGGAGAGATTTGGTGTTTGTTTTTGTTATGATGTATGACTTTTTTCCGACCTGTGGAATTTGTAACTGTTTCTTATACGATATAAATCTTTGGCTATATATATATATATATATATATATATATATATATATATATATATATATATATATATATATATATATATATATATATATATATATGTGTGTGTGTGTGTGTGTGTGTGTGTGTGTGTGTGTGTGTGTGTGTGTGTGTGTGTGTGTGTGTGTGTGTTGTGTGTGTGTGTATGTGTATATATATATAGTATATACATTTTTTGAAAGAAAGATTTATATGCATATATTTGTGTGTGTGTGTGTTTATGCATATCAAAGGAATAGTTTTTTTCCTCATGAAACAACAGCACTTCTTCTCGCACCCGCCTGTCCGCCAGGGCGAGGAGGGCCAGTGGAACATCGACTGCATGGAGAAGGCGGAAGACGCCATCAAGGCTTTCGAGAAGAAGTTCAAGGACAAGACCAGAAACAACTGGGCCGATCGAGACAACTTCGAGCCGGTCGCCAAGAAGTATACTTTGCTGGAGATGGGTGAGTGCCGCGTTCTGTCTGTCTGTCTGTCTGTCTCCCTTCCCCAACCCCTCTCTCTGTCCATCACCCTCTCCCTCCCCCTCTCAGTCCATGTCCCTCTCCCTCCCCTTCTCTGTCCATGTCCCTTCCCCCCCCTCTGTCAAACCCGTCCATGTCCCTTCCCCAACCCCTCTCTGTCCATGTCCCTTCCCCAACCCCCTCTCTGTCCATCTCCCTCCTGTCCATCTCCCTCTCCCTCCCTGACTCCTTTCTCTCTCCATCTCCCTCCCTTACCCTCTCTCTCCATCTCTCTTCCCCAACCCCCTCTCTGTCCATCTCCCTTCCCCAACCCCCTCTCTGTCCATCTCCCTTCCCCAACCCTCTCTCTGTCCATCTCCCTCTCCCTCCCCTTCTCTGTCCATCTCCCTTCCCCAACCCCCTCTCTCTCTCGCTTCCCCTCCCTCCCCCTTCTCCTTACACTCCCCTCCTCCCCTTTCCCTCCCACTTCCTCTTTTTCCCACTCTCCCTCTAGGATCAGATCGGCGTGTTCTAAGGTCTCATCATCATTGCCATCGCGTTCAGATCGCAGGACACAGAGTACTTGTGAAATCAGTACACATGGCTTTTACGGTCTGCGAGGCAAGGGCGACTACGAGAGAAGGGGCCGGATTCTCAAAAGAGCCTCAAGTAAAGCCGCGTTGGAAGCCTTGACCGCCCTGTCGTATTTCCCTTATATAAAGAACGAAGAGTGCTTAATTCCCGCCCGCCGTAAAACGCTAATGACAGCTCTCCCCCTGCCTTAAGCAAAGGCGCCTTAACTCGCACCAATATGGAGGGTCCCTTGCTCCGTGTATGTGTATGTAAGATCGCTCGGCCGCAAGTTAAGGCGCCTTAAGGAGAATCCGGCCCCAGGTCACTAGGATCTGTGTGATATTGCATGATAACTATAAGTACTTGTTCAATGTATTTATTTGGAAAGTGGTTCAGTAGCAGTTATGGCAAGAAAATAATCAAAAACGAAACCAAGAGAAAAGAAAAAGGAAAGAAAAAAAAATGATGGCAAAGAAGTGGGACTTCACTCGGAAGTTGCCTGATTTAAACTACCTTGAGTATTTCGCTTCTTCCAGACGACGACAGCGACGAAGAGGAAGACGCGGTGGATTCCTCGGTGCCCAAGAAGGAGCTGGTGTCCTATGATGGCCCCTGCAACTTGCACAAGAGGACCATACTCATGATCAAACTCATTTTCTCGGATAATATGTTTGTCAATCAGATGGCGGATATGAGTCTAGGTGATGAGGTGACTGTAGGTGAGTAAATGGAGGTGAGTGAGGAAATGAGTAGGTGAGTGAGGAAATGAGTAAGTAAGAAAAGGAGCCAAGGATGGAAGAATAAGTGAATTAAAAAATTATGTATAACGATTAAGAATTCACCAATACTGTTAAATATTTATTCACGTATACTTATCTATGTTTGGATAGATTCAAAGATAGATAAACTAAAGTCTTTCTATAGAGAAAAAGACAGACATACAAAAAGACATTGATAGATAAATAGTGATAGAAAGATAGGGAATGAGAAATATAAATGATCTTTGATGCTAAATACTTATGGGTTCGAGATGGGTCTTTTAGTAAGGGTGAGCAAGTAAGAGAATTGCCAAAGCGAGTTATGTTAGTAAGGGAGCAAGAATAATGATTGTTCCTGTGCTTCTAAATAAGATACATAACTGTATTTCTTTAACATAACGCGATGTGTATAAGAATGCTCGTGTGATTCCCGGGACCTCACTCTGATGACACAATATTTGCTGCTTTGTTAGTGTGATAAGGTCAGTACATTTGCATACGGAAAGTTCATACAACAACGCAAAAATCTACTTAAAAAGTGGCAGTGTGATAGGGACTTAAGGAAAGATAAATAGTTGATTTGTTATGTTAGTAAGGGAGCAAGATTAATGATTGTTCCTGTCTTCCAGACGTGAAGAAGATGCCGCTGGGCAAGCTGAGCAAGCTGCAGATCGCCAAGGGTCTGGAGGCGCTCATAGACATCGAAGACGCCATCAAAAAGAACAAGGTACTCGAGGGAAGGACCGCCATGGCTGCTGGTCCGTCGTCTTGGAAACCTTTTTTCACTTGATCAATTCCTTCGGCTTTATAACGTTTTATTCGCGTCCAATTTTGCTTTAAGTTCGCTTTAAGCCTTCATTTTCGTTGATTCTTGTCTGTCCTTTTGTATATTAGTTATTGTATATTTGTTGTCTCTTGAGAATACACCTAAAAGCCTTCCAGAAGTGCTGGCCGATCTGAATAAGCTCGCCCTCTTCGTCCTCAGCCCCGCAGTGTGTTGATGGAGCTCACCTCCAAATTCTACACTCTCATTCCACACAACTTCGGTCGATCGGCGCCTCCTGTGATAGACACGGATGAAGTTGTGCAGAAGAAGAAGGAGGTTATGCTCACTCTCAGCGACATTGAGCTCACGCAGAGTCTTCAGAAGGAGAAAGGTGGGGAAAAGCGGGTGTCTACTCGTATATTTATGTATATTGCCATATGTATATATTGTGTATATATATTTCTATATGTATATATATATATATATATAATATATATATATATATATATATATATATATAGTCATAAGAATATTATCTATAAACAAATAAATATTATCTATAAACAAACGAATATGTATATCTATACACACATACACACGTGTGTGTGTGTAAATATGTAGATATATGAATATATAGATATATGTATGTATGTATATACATACATACATACATACATATATATATATATATATATATATATATATATATATATATATATATATGTGTGTGTGTGTGTGTGTGTGGTGTGTGTGTGTGTGTGTGTGTGTATATGCATGTATGTGTTATCATTATTGTCATTATTATTTCATTCATGCTGTTTTTTTTTTTGTCACAGGAGAACAAATCTTCATCCCTTACTCGAGAAGTACGAAATGTTGGACTGCGTCTTGGAATACGTCGAAAAGTCTTCCTCAGAATTTATGGTAAAGGCTTGCACTCTCTCTCTTTATTTTTATACATTTATGTATAGATACACACACACACACACACATATATGTACACACACACACACACACACACACACACACACACACACACACACACACACACACACACACACACACACACACACACACACACACACACACACACACATTTAAAGATACATGCACACATATTATATATGTATATACATAAGTAAACATATATGCATATATACATTTATATACATATATATCTGGTTTATTTCCAGCTTCTCAAAGAGTATGCGACAGCTTGTCCTCAGACGAGAAAAGGTCCTCTCCTTGACGTTTGGCGCGTTGACCGGAAGGGAGAGAAGGAGAGGTAAGTAGGCTGTTACTTCTGCTAATTCCTCTACCTTTGCTGGTCATGATGGTAGGTGGTAATGATGATGTGTGTGTTTTTCTTTCTCTTTCCCTCACCACTTCCTCTTTCTGTAACCTCCCCCCCCCCCCATGAGAAGGAGAGGTAAATAGGCTGTTAATTCTGCTAATTCCTTTACCGATATGTATACTCCAATTTCTTTCTCTTTTTTGTGTGTTTTTCTTTCTCTTTCCCTCACCACTTCCTCTTTCTGTAACCCTCCCCCCCCCCATGAGAAGAAGAGGTAAATAGGCTGTTAATTCTGCTAATTCCTCTACCTTTGCTGGTCATGATAGTAGGTGGTAATGATGATGACATTTGTAGGGATATGTATACTCCAATTTCTTTCTCTTTTTTGTGTTTTTTCTTTCTCTGTAATGGTGATGACATTTGTGGGGAATATATTTTGTGTATGTATGATTTTTTGGTCTTTTTTCTTTCTACCATTTTTCCTTTTGTCTATTTCCCAAGCTCTTCGTTTCTCTTTCTCTCCTCTCTTTATCTGTTTGTTTGCTGTTCTCCTTTCCTCCATTTCCTCTTTCTAACCTATTTATCCCCCACCCATCTTGTCCCTCTCCAACCTTCCCCTTCCCTCCCCTCTTCTCCCCTCCCACCCCTCTCTCTGTCCAAACCCCACAACCCAAAAACGAAAGAAAAAGAAACGAAAAATGAACGAAAGCCAACCCCGCCAGGTTCGCCGCCCACGACGCCATCCAGCACCGCAAGCTGCTCTGGCACGGCACGGCCCTTCCCCTCTCTCTCCCCCTCCCTCTTCCCTCCCTCTCTCCTCCCTCCCCCTTCTCTCTAACCCCCAAATAATGTATAAATAAAAGAACAATAAAGCAAAAGCCAACCCCGCCAGGTTCGCCGCCCACGACGCCATCCAGCACCGCAAGCTGCTCTGGCACGGCACCAACGTGGCGGTGGTGGCGGCGATCCTGAAGGCCGGGCTCAGGATCATGCCCCACTCGGGCGGGCTGGTGGGCAGGGGCATCTACTTCGCCTCGGAACACGCCAAGAGCTCCTGGTATGGTAAGTGTTGGCTGGGCGAGTGGGTTCGTAAGTGGGTTGGGCGGGGTGGATGGGTGGGCGGGTGGGCGGGATTGGTGGGTTTGGGTGGGGTTGGTGGGGCGGAGGGATAGGTGGGTTTGGGTGGGGGGAGGTGGATGGGCGTGTAGAGGAAAGGGACATTTTGGTGTACCTTTGATGAGAACGTGTTTGTGTAGTAATGATAATAATAATAATGATAATTTAGGATTTAGTGTGAAAGGGTCTTGTGATCTGTCAGATAGCGATTGCTTGTTTATTGGGCTTCTAAACAGGTGCAAGGAATAGTCAGGGTATATGAGTAAGGGACGGAATTATTATTATTTTTTGGGTGAGGGGAGGGATATGTGTTAGAAGTATATATTGCGTGGTTCTTGAAGATCACTTTCTGTTATGTTTTGCCTGTGAATTATAATAAAGTGAACGAGACTCTAGTGCAGACTACGTATAACGCACCTGTCTTTTATCAGTTGGCACGGGTGGAAAATTCATACCTTTTTACCATAATTCTTTGGATTGTTTCTTTTCTTCTTTTTCCTCCAGTCAGAAGTCATTGCGGGATCTTCGAAGGTGAGAGTAACGTAGGCTTCATGTTCCTGGTCGAGGTTGCTTTAGGGAGAGAAAGCAGCATCACACAGTGTGACGGCAGCTTAACGAAGGCCCCCAACGGCTATGATAGCGTGGTGGCGAGAGGGTCGCGCGAACCAGGTAATTCATTGGTAAACAGATCAAATAAAAATGAAATAAATTATCTAATTGCAAATGTCCTAGTAATGAAATGATATTAAATAATGTGCACAATGAATGAAGTGCTTAAAGTTACGCCGAACTATTGAAAGACATGCTGGAAGGTGCTCTTGAGGTTGAAGAGCTTGTTACACGCAAAGAGAGGTCGACGGAAGTCCATCTCTTCGACGATACAAAATTATCCACAAAATAACAGCCCTTTAAGAATAATTCAACTTACTTCCTCTCTCTCATTCCTCCAGACCCGAAGAAGAACAAGAAAGTAGTCTTCGACGGGAAGGACGTCATCGTACCTGTGGGGAAGCCTGTTCCTCAGAAGGAGTGGGCCCAAAGTGGCTTCTGTCAGAGCGAGTACCTTGTTTACAAAGAGAGTCAGGCGCGAATCAGATACGTCCTCAAGTTTTCTTTTAATTAATCTAGTCATTGAGTCCTTTCGTCTTATTCACAGCAAACATTTATGGATGAATAAACAGTACGGAAGAATAGCATACTACGGTTTTGCAGCTATTGCATAGATGTTGCATTGCACGCTGTCACGGAGGTTTTCTCAGCTTTGTATGAGGACCCGAAGTCAATCTCTGTAGATTATTTACTAGAACGGAATTTTATGGTGAAAACTATAATGATCAATCGAATAACAAAAGATGTTTTTTGCAATATTGTTTTTGTCTGTTGTAAATCAACCATCACAACATATGTACACGTCGGCTTTATCAACTTGTCAATGTTTGTTTTATATCACTTGTGAAACTGTACTTCGCATTCACCTCTGTAATAACACTTTTTTGTTAGATTAAAGTGTAAATTTATCACAGTACTTTTTATAACCTGATTATACACATCCCTTTCTTTACTTTGGAAACTGTGGTAATAAAGATCTACTATAATATTTAGTAATCCTCTTTCGTGTCCACACCCAACAAAGATTACTGTAGGGTATAACATACCAACTGGCCTGCAAAGAGTGTTTGATCACATTTGTACCGTGAAGTCGTGGGCTGCCTCCAGAAAGCTCCAAGTCTTGAACTATGGAAAGGAAAATGTGACTCGAGCATGAATAATTAAAAAGTAGCTGCTATTTCTCTACTCCCTGTGATGTCTTGAGGTACCTTTGGAATCAGAAGCAAACCAAGCAATAGAAAACGTGAAATGCAACATGGATTCCAGAAGGAAGCTCTTCACGAGACAGCTTTATCGAAGAGCAAAGACTATAACCGAATCAATCTACTCTCGCTAAGCGATTCATCGAAGGTTTTTGACAAATCCTTTATAACAAACAGAAATCACGAAATGATAATCCTTGATTCAGAAATTGTTTTTCCACGAGAACGTAGTCAGCTTTCGTGAAAAAGTATCACCAGTATCTTGCAATGTTCCATATACGTACTTTAATAACAAAACACATGCAAAAAAAAAAAAAAAAATCTACCTTAGTGCCTATCACTTCTACAGCCAATATGCAACACAACAGGTTAACTGTTTGGATGTCAAAATATCATGTTCAGAAATGGGTAAGACATTAAAATATATGAGCCTATGATCAGGAACCATCTGCTTAAAAGTTTTAAAAATGTTTCTAACATCAATACTTTCAAAATAATATATTAAAAGTATTAAAATCATTAGAGATGTTTCTAACCTATATACTTAAACAAATTAAGAAATAAGTAAATAAATAAAAAAAATATCGACATCAGATATTTACATAAAAGGCCAAACACTTGATCTCAGTTTCTTGTGATGTAAATATTTACCAAATTCTTGTATAAATGAATTTGATATTGACTTATTTACCTCGTATAAGTATGTAACTACCATTCACTTTAAAAGATTAACCATTGTCATTATTTGAATAAAGTGAATCTGAATTTTGAATACTGATATGGGTAAGCCTAAGGTAAGGGAAGGGAAATGTCTCCATCATCCCTCTCCTTGGTTTAATGTTTGCCTTTGAATGGGTTTGTCGCTCCCTTTGGCTTGAAAGGGGTGCTTCCCGTCAAGAGCTTGGAGAGAAAGGCAACAGAGACCGGTTTTCTGCTGGCTTTGTCTCGCTTGTCACTCAAGTAACTGTGAAGCATATTCAGTTCAAAAATGCTGTTCATAGAATCCTTTTTTTCAGATTTTACTGTCGGGTTTTTGGCTTTCACTTGTGCAGTTTCCATATGGTAAGAGTGATGGACAATTTCTTTCATTCTACTGTGACTACATGAATCTTGCCTACTACACGAGACTACCAACATTTCCACGATCTACATTTGGGGTATTTCCTTAAAAAAAAAAGTTAGTCAGCCGCCATTTGTCACCGCTGTTTCTCATACCAAAGACTTCTGGGACTTTTACCACCTCTTCGTAGATACTATGTACACACACCTTTTCTGACACGATAAATTGGCAGCTGATTCAGCTTAAGTACAATTGGCACGTAAAACTTACACGAACTTCCCAGTAACCCACAATGTTACTGGAAAGGTAGCAAGTGCAGAGATGGTGGCTTGAACATGCAGACTGGATTCTTTATGGATCAACTGTAGTATTGTAGGAATCTCTGGAGGAGTTTCAGTATATTCAGTTAGTTCTAATGACGACCCAATGATGTGATCTTCAGGCAGTGTAATCGCTGCCTGTGTCAAGGCCAGGTGAGTTCTAATGAAGGCTAGGAAGATATGATTTATGTCTTCTCAATTAACTTTGGAAACTTATTAGGATGGTGTAAAGAGCATTAACTTTAGAACTTCTACTTAGGGATGGTGAGTGGGAAACTTTAGAGGAAACCTTCATGGCTTGTCATTAAATCCCTCCATCATGCTCAGGAGACAGATGGAATAGCATCACGGGAAGAAACGGTTGCACATGAGTTAGCTAAATTCAGATTTTGTAAATTCCTATGTTGCAAATTAGTTATCTGAATTCAGATGTTTGTAAGTTATCTAACCACAGATATTGCTAATTCATATGTAGATATATTTGCCAAATACATGTCAGAGCTCTCTCATACGTCTCTTGGTTCTCGGTTTCCCTCCTGGCAGAACAAGAAAGTCATCTTCATGTATCTGCCTTTTTTTCCGTTCTTTCTCACTAACGGGTTTTCTGCAGTACCTGTTGGATCTCTTCGACGGGGCCTTTGGAAAGAGTTCTGTGTTAAGAGCATGAGAAGCTGTAGTCATCTCTACCTCACTCCCTTCTCTTCTCTAAACCCGGTGGCCGTGCTTCTATACTAGGAAAGTGCAGATATATTTCCTTTGACCTGAAAAATGAGATCTACCCTGCATGGAAACTCCTAGACAGAACTCCTTGACTTGTTTTTTTTTTCATTATTTTTCAAATTTCCTTAACTCGTTTCCACACAGAACTCCTTGACTTGTTTTCTCACTAAAAGGCATAATACCACTTGGAAGCATGGCATAGTCTATTGTTAGTTAGCGTTAATACTGGAATTACCTACTGGAATATGTTTCTCATTTGATCCTTCATTTTTTAGATTTCTCAGACCATACGTGTTGTAATATCTGAGTTCGGACTGATCAGATTCAATTTTAAGTTTCGACTCTTTGGATCACTGGTTCGTGTTTGCCAGACCGCCGATGTTCTCCTCAAATGAAGTTCCAGCGGCTTTAAGAACGAATTGGAAAGCAGTCTACTAATTTCACGTCACACAACATAAATTCACCTTTTGGGTCGCACAACCTTAGCTCCACATACAGGGTTTTGTTCCTTTTCATTATGAGGCAATTTTTGTATACCCTTCTTAAACCAGCTTTTATACATGTTGGCCATGAAGAGCAATACAGTAATGTACACTAGAGCTTACACTGCGTCCTTATCCTGAACCTGACTGCATTTATTCAGACACTTCGGACACATTTTCTAGTGAAGGTCGGAGTCCATATCGGCTGTGATTGGCTGCGACACGAGGCAGCTCGATGGTGATTGGCTGTGGCGCAAGAAAACTCGACGGTAATTGGCTGTAGCACAAGAGAACTCGATGGTGATTGGCTGTGGCGCAAGAAAACTCGACGGTAATTGGCTGCAGCACAAGAGAACTCGATGGTGATTGGCTAAAGCGGTCGAGATCCTGGAACATGTGTCTAAAGTGTCTTTGAATATGAATAGATGTTTCTCAACATATGCAGAAAAGTTTTAATGTTTGAGAAATGACAACCCCACACTTTTATAACCGCTGGCAAAATAAATGTTCCGTTTATGCTTTCCGAGATGCGAGCAACACAATAAAAGCGATCACACAAAATCGTGGGAACCTTCTGTGCTCGACTGAAAGTTAAAAACAAAATGTTTGAGAA